TTGGGAGCCCCACTTCTGCCTGGGTTTAGTGGTGAGACCCTGTAATAGCAGGTGCCACCAACTTCACAGGGCGACAGAAAGGCTTTCTGTGACACAGTGTCCAACCAACGGCCTGTTGTTCCTGTTTGTCTTTAGAGATGTATTTGGAGCACATAAAACTGTAGATAATGTTTTCCAAATTCTCCTGTGCATGTGACCAAGCTCACAAAATAGAAAAAAGTTACAAATGGAAACCTGTCGGGCGTCCTCCTTATTGCATTTACCATATCAGGCTGAGCAATTTTCTGATTTTCTATTCTATTTCAAACTTTGTGTTTAAGTCTCACTCTGTAGCTTGCTTCCGCCCCCCCCCCCAATAGCATTCCCATACATTTTGAGATGTATCCCCCATCAGTTTTTCTAATTGCTTCATTTTGGGTGATTTTCCTTTGAGTTTTGCCTGATTTAGACCTACTGTGAGCACTGTTTACATGATCATTATTATGTCTCTTCAGACACACATGCAAGACTGAGTCTGAAGTGTCTGTCTGGGAGGATAGCCACCTCTGTGTCAGGTGTCCACACCCTCAGGCTTTCCACGTTTCCCAAACTTTCCACTGGTTTATGTCCTCATTAGCAGGCTATGTGAGTTCATGTGACTCCTCCTCTCTGCCAGCATTTAGTATGGTCTAGCTGCTTTTCTTTGCTGATCATATGGATGCGAATAATGTGATTACTTTCCCTCAGTTCTCTGAGGTTGAACAGCTCTTCATGTTTCCTAAACACATAGAGACCTACCTGCCTCTGCCTCCCAAGTGCTGAAATTAAAGGAGTGTGCCATCACGCCCGGCTTATTCACATCTTTCTATGGGCTGTTTGCATTACAAGATAATCCCCTAGGCATTCTTCACCCTTCTGACACCATTATATGTTGGTTGCAGGCGTCAATACATACTGTGGAGTGCAGTTCCACCTTCCTTATCCTGTCCGCAGGCCCTGGAGTTGTTCTTGGTATTGTTTTATGCTGATTTGTGTGAGTGCCTGGGAATCGAACCCAGGGCCTCGTGAATGCTGGACAAGTGCTACCACTGAGCTGCACCCCTGCATCAGGAGTTCAGTTTGTCCTGTGACCAGTTCAGCTGCCTTTTCGGTTCTAACGCGTATCTCATGGAAGAGGCACTTCCCTCGCTGAAGTCCAGGGTTACTTACTGTTCCTGTGTCCTCTCAAACATTTCAAAACTGTGCTCCAGAAACCTAAGCTCACGGTTTATGTGGGGCCTTTGCATACATGGCTTGAGGGCTCTTGTTTCACGTATTTTTAAATTATGTTCACCTGTCTTCTCTTAATTTTAATGATGAATATGTATTATTCTTATAGTAACATTCTGATTTTTTTTAGTTCCGCTGGATTAGTAAAATTTCCTGACTCATCTGCACACTCGCTGTTTTCCATCACTTTGAACTGATCTTTCCCACTCCCTGTCTTTCTGTTGTTCGTGGTGAGAAGGGATGTTAGAGTTGAGATGTCGCTGTTGAACCCGTGTCTTCACAAGGACAACCTGAGCTGTTGCCCACAGCATTCGAGTTGCAGGGAGAGAGAGTAAAGGATGTGTGGCGGGCTTCGGGGCGGGGCCCATGCTCCCCACAACCTGACTAGACAGGTTCGGATGAGGAGACCTCAGAAGTCTGTTCCTGCCCACGCTCCTTGCGTGTGGCAGCAGAGTGTGCACCTTCTGCTCCTGATGCAGAGCTTGCAGCCGAGGCTCCGCCCCCAGACTGCACTCTTCCTGAGAGGTGAGTGTTAGGATGGTCTCTGGACACGGAAACGCTTCATGGCTTTTTCTAAACACGGGGCGGTGTGCTGTTGGCAGCTCAGGGCAGGTTGTTTGTGGTCTGCGTCATTACACATGGCCACCAGAGGGAAGAGATGCCGTTGGCTGAGTTAGTGCAGACATGCCCTGTCCATCTCTCTTGCTTTCTCATTCACTGCTCTTGGCTTCCTTCTCCAGCGTTTGCCCCGCACTCGTCTTGATGTCTGTGTTTCTCTGTTTTGCTCCTGTGTCTTCTCCAGTAGACTTGGAAGCAGAGGATGTATGCTCTCCTTCCTGGACAGACTCGATCGTGTCTGTCATAAGGAAGGGCGACCTTGCCTGAGTTCTTTGTGCGAATTGGGTAGAAAAGAAGCTGAAATCATTTAGAAAGCATATGGTATTTTTCTAGATTTTAAGTAAAACATCAAACAAACTTAGCCTGTAAAGATATAGATATTTTAGGCTATTTGGGCTACATGATCACTGGGACAACTATTCAGTTTACCATTGTTGTCCCAAAGCCGTGAAATGCAAACAAGCAAACCTTTATTTACACGTCAGCAGACTTGATCCTCCCACCGGAGTTTGCCGACCCTCATTTTTTTTTTTATTCCAGCCCTGTCTACCAAGAATCTAATTATCTGACTAAGCAATTTCATTAACATGTTTAGACTGTATTTCCGTTACCAAGGATCTCTGTGAGCTGTCTCTGCAGAAGTAAGATTCAGTGTGGAAAGATAATGATTACACACACATTTCAAGCTCATCAAGACTGCAGAGGTCAAACTCGCTTGGGTTACCCGTTAATCTTTTCCCCTCACATCAGAATTGCCCTGAGCTCTAACCTTGCTTGATCCAAGCATGTGTCTACCCCTGACCTCTTCCTGTGTTTAGGCCTCTTTTCTGATTATAGATGACATCCACACTCACAAGCCACCCAGTCCAGATTTTTAGTAATACACACACACATACACACACACACACACACACACCCCACAGGTGCATGCCACTGCCCTCCCAGACCAGAAGAGGGTATCAAATCCCCTGGAACTGAACTGTGAACCACCCAGTGTGGGTGCTGGAACTGCACTCTGGTCCTCGGAAACAGCAGCAAGTGACCTTAACCACTGAGACACCCCACCCTTTATCTTATCATGGCCATTGAAACCCCAGATCTGAAAAGTGTCTCTCCTTCTATCAGTTAATTCCTTTGTACAGCAAACATAGACATGAAAACCACCCAGTGGCCGAGTGAGAATGAGGCCTGCTCTATGGTGTCTGTTCACCTGTGCCATGGGAGATGAAGCATCCCAGGTACTAAAGCTGCTGGCTGGAGAGCAGCATAGGAGGGATCCATGTCTTTCATTAAGAACTTTGGACCTGGGCTGAAGAGATGGCTCAGTGACAAAGAGCGTTGGCTGCTCTTCCAGAGGTCCTGAGTTCAATTCCCAGCACCCACATGGTGGCTCACAACCATCTATGATGGGATCTGGTGCCCTCTTCTGGCCTGCACATGTACATGCAGACAAAGCACTCATACATAAAAATAAATAAATAACTTTGGCTGTAAAGTTACTCCACAAGTGAAATGTATATAATAGTCTTAATATTTTGAAGACTAATACTGTAAATGTCACTTGTTCTGCTTGCTAAACAGTTTATAGGGACATAAGTTATTGTCCTAAGAAACTAAGACTGTTTTCCATTGTCACCTGTACTTCTAATGTTGAGCTAGCATTACACACACACACACACACACACAACTAGCCTAATTATATAGAAGAGACTTTGGTAAATTAAAAAAATCATAATTAAGAGTAGTAAACCATTCACAATTCAGTTGCTCAGAGAGAATGATCACTGGCATGTTCATGACCATCTCTTGTGACGTCCCCCTGTGTGTTTGTACCCATTTAGATTACCTATAAAAATTTCACATGCAGGAGCTGATGCACAAAATAGCTTTAAAACCTGCTGTTTTACTAACAAACATGAAATGGGTGTGTGTCTGGGCTAATAAAGTCCAGCATTCACTTTAATGGTTCCTTGGCCTTGTACAGCACACTCTGACTGTGACCTGCATGGACGGTGCCCTGACGGTGAGTTTGAAGTGCTTTGTACTTTTCCGTTATCACTAGAGCAAAACTAAGGTAAACTTCCTTGTGTGTTTCTCCTGTCCTGCTGAATATCTCTTGAAGATCAATTCCTGTGCCGTTGGCAGGGTCAGTGTGTGGGTGTGTCCATATTTGTGCATAATCTTGGTACCAGGGAGTTTTTGTTCAATTATAACCTCCCCAAAGTTAATATTTCATATCATCAGCAATACTAGAAAAGATACCTCTCTCCCTCCCCTCTCCTCCCTCCCCCTTCCTCCCTCCCCCTCCCTCTCCCCTCTACTCCCTTGACACAGGATCCCCGGGAGTCTTCCGTTTCTGCCTCAGAGCTCTGGGGTTAAGAGAGGGCGCAGCTGCCTCTGACTTTCTCCGTGGATGCTGGGATCCAGACTCAAGTCCTCACGCTTACACGAGTGTTCTTACCCACTGAGCCATCGCTCCACCTGCTATGGACAATTTTTTTTTTTTCTGGGATCTTGAGACAAAGTCTCCACAGAACTCTGGCTGCCCTGAACTCACCATGTAGACCAGGCTGGCCTTGAACTCACGGAGATCCTCCTGCTTCTGCCTCTCTGGTGCTGGGATTAAAGGTGGGCGCCACTGTGTCCAGCACCATATTGGACAATTTCTAAACAGATCAGTTTTCGGGATCTCAGCATCCTTTATGAGCGTCATCACTGAAACAATATATTTCTTAAACTGAAACACCTACATAGCTCTTAGTGTGTGTCAAGAGACTCTACTAGCTACTTTCATAAATATGAATTAATTTAATATTCATAACGACCCTAGGAAGCAGGTACTGTTGTTACTCTTAACTTATAGGTGAGGAAGCTGTTTACAGGTGACTGAAAGTCGGGAATCTGGTGAATGGGAAGCTAGTACTTACTCACCCCTTTCTGGTTTTCCCAGAATCAATCCTCCTGACCATCATGCTCTACTTCCTTTTGGAGGAGAAGCTTAGCATGCAAGGAAACAAGCCTGGGCACCAGGGTCCAAAAGGCAAATCCTATCAGGTCAAGTAGAGGTAGAATGGTTAACTCATTTAAAAGTAATCCCTTTGTTTTTTTGTTTTGTTTTGTTTGATTTTTTTTAGGCTGTATCAAGGTCAGAAAAGATCAAAAGAAGCTTTGCCCTTCTATCAAAAGGCTTTGGAGTATACTGAGACCGTCAGAGATGAAAAAAGTCTCGACTGTGTACCAGTCCTAAGGGAACTGGCAGGCGTGGAGCAAGCCCTGGGATTCCACGATGCTGCTGTCAATCATTTCTCACAGGTAAGGTGCAATACACTGGCCACCAAAACTGTGCTAGACACAAGAACCACAAAATGCCTGGCCCTGTCATGTGCTGAAGATCTTAAAACACTTGGTCAGCATGGATGCTTAGCAAAGATTTTCTTATTAGAAAGCTAAGCAGGTGAGTGCAGGATGCCAGTCCCTGCTGCTAACTGCATGTTCCACGGACAGCCTGAGACTCCTTTTTTTTTTTTTTTTAGGTTTTTCGAGACAGGGTTTCTCTGTGTAGCTTTGCGCCTTTTCCTGGAACTCACTTGGTAGTCCAGGCTGGCCTCGAACTCACAGAGATCCGCCTGCCTCTGCCTCCCGAGTGCTGGGATTAAAGGCGTGTGCCACCACCGCCCGGCTTGAGACTCTATTTTTCACATCACATGTAGGACTCAAGTACTGTTCCCAGGTGAAGTTTCTTTCTTTATTAGCTCATAATATTAAAGAGACTGATGTGTTTGGAAAAGAAAAAAGGATGTACTTTTTTAAAAATTGTGTGTGTGTGTGTGTGTGTGTGTGTGTGTGTACATATGTGTGGGTGCCCTCAGAAGCCAGAGGCATATCCTCTGGAGTTGGAGTTATAGGCAGTTGTGAACCACCTGACATGGGTCCTGGGTACCGAACTCAGGTCCTCTGCCAGAGCAGTACCTTAATGTCAATAACAACGTCATAACTGCTGAGTCATCTCTCCAGCCCCATGACTGGGCCTTTTGTTTCTACTCTAAAATCGTTGCCTGGAGCCATTTAAAGGTATACTGTTGGTTGGCATTCTACTTTGTCATTGTGAGATTCCTCGGCATATCTGTCATTCAGGGTTCTCCAAAGAAAACAGAATATGTACAATTGCTACAAATAGAATCTGTAGCAAAGGAGGGATGGGGAGAGAGACAGGGAGAAAGGGAGAGAAGTTTTAAGGAACTGGTTTACATGCTTTGGGAACCAGCAAGCCAGATATCCCCAGGACAGTACAGAGAGGCTGGAAGTGGGAAACTGCAGTGTCTTTGCTCTGAAGGACAACGGACTGGCTGAGGGTCATTCATATGGTTGAGAGTAGTCTCCTTTACTTAAAGCTGGCGGTGTGAACTGTCTATAAACTACAGTCTTAAAACACCTGAACTGGTGTTTAACTAAACATCTGGGCACCAGAGCTGCACTGGTGACATCTGGATCTAACCACCACAGCGAGTCAGGTGGCTTTGTATCATATCATCTGCTCAGAGCACCTTTTTGCATTTTTCCTAGAGTTTAAAATATGTACTAACCCATTCCTGTTATTTCCAGTGAGATAATAATGACACCGTACTAAGAATATATTATAACTATGTCTTTTAAATTTTGTCTGACAATTTATACTCCCACTCACAGTACGTTGGAGTGCCCCAACTGCTCACTTTATCTAGATCATCTCTCTTAATCATTAATACTGCTGTGTAACGTATTATTTCCAGCTTATAGATAAGGAAGACAAGAATTAGAAAGGTTGAGTGATATGCCCCAAATACATACTCCCAAAAAGACATCACTCAGATTCAAAACTAGCACTAAAAAAAAGAAAAAAGGAAAAAAGAAAAGAAAAAGCAAACAAGATCCTTCCACCTGATTTGTAGAGGTAGGACTGGGGAGGGTGTGCCAAGCCTGGAAGGGAGGAGGTCACTTAGGAGGCTACTGAAACAGCAGAGGCAGAGCATGAGGTGGTTTTGAGGACAGATGGAGATACTGGGGATGGAGGAAAGTAGATCATTTGAGACAGGTCTGGGAGGCAGTGTAGACAGGCCATAGAAATGAGGTGTGGTGGGGCAGGAGGAGGATCGAAGCGGGTTCTCGGATTTCTGGGAGTACAGACCACTGAGGGCATGCTGGTACTATATGCAGGAGAGGCGGGGTGAGCAGGTGCTAGAGAGAGGTAGACTCCAAGTTGGACGATGAGTCTGTGATGCCCGTGAGGCAGCAACGTGCAAGTGACGGCCGTAGTTAGAGGTACCTGAAGCTGAGGGACAGGTCCACAGACTCTCCCCAAAAGGCCTTCCTCAAAGGTGAGACAAAGATTGGCCGCTCAAGTATGATGTCATGCCCCGGGCCAGAGGGGTGATAAAAACAGTAGATGGGCATCGTTCTGGTAGGGTATCGAAAGTCCCAGTAAGAAATCCTGACAGCAGTGGGAGACTTTCAAGCAGGGACATGAGACCAGATTGCCAGTCTAAACGGACTGCTCCGTGGGAGGGAGGGGGAAGTAGATGATGGGATATAAGCTGAGCGATAGCTTCAAGGGGGCCACAGCAGCCTGGGTATGGGGTGAAGACAGCCCCGATTCAGGAGGCCAGGGAAGACGGACAGATGTGGACAGACTCAAGAGACGTGAGGAGTAGGAATGAATGGCGGGCTGGGTGGCAGCTGCCAGTGAGAAAAAAAAAAAAACAAAAAAACAAAAAAAAACAGTCAGAGTTGTGTTTTACCAGGTTTCTGGCTGCCTTCGCTGTGTGGCGTGTGGCATCATTTATTGACTGTAAGAACTCCGGCAGGCATATGATGTGTGTGTGTGTGTGTGTGTGTGTGTGTGTGTGTGTGTGTGTGTGTGTCAGTATCAATAATTCTGGATGTTCTTGTGTAAAAACACTTTGCTTCAGTCAGCTTCCAGAAGTGAAAGTGCTGAGAAGAAGGATATGAATATTTTATAATTCTCGATTCACATTGGCATCCTGCCAGAGAGTTGTTTTGATTTATTTAATCATTAGAGTGGCATTTTAGTACCAATGATGCCCCTGGATTAACACATTATTAGAACCCAGTTCCGCAGCTCACACCAGGGCTCACTCTCGCTGCTTCTCGTTCTGTGGGTCTGACAGACGTGTAAAGATGTGTACCCACCAGTGCAGATACATACAGAATAGCTTAACTGCCGGAACAGTCCTCCCTGCCCTTCTGATTCCTCCTCCCCTGCCTGAACCTCCGGCGACCTCCGATAGCTATAGTTTGCCTATCCCAGAAAGCCGTGTGGTTGAAATCGTGTAGGATGTGCTTACACTGCCTTCTTTCACTCCGCAATACATATTTACGTTTCCCCTATGTGTGTTTATGGCTTAAGAACACCTTTCCCGGGGCTGGGGATTTAGCTCAGTGGTAGAGCGCTTGCCTAGCAAGCACAAGGCCCTGGGTTCGGTCCTCAGCTCTGGAAAAAAAAAAAAAGAACACCTTTCCCACCAGGCATGGTGGCACACGCCTTTAGTCCCAGCTCTCCCGAGGCAGAGGCAGGCAGATCTCTGTGAGTTCAAGGCCAGCCTGGTCTACAGAGCAAGATCCAGGACAGCCAGGCTGTTACACAGAGA